AAAAAAAAAAAAAAAAATCCTCAGTTGTCAGCTTAAAAAAAAAAAAAAAGGTAACCCCAAATCCATATTTTTCCATGATAAAAATGAAGCGTGGCTAATATATATCTGTATATGAGTGGGGTTTCATTTAAAACATGGGAAAAAGTGGATTTGGGGTTACTTTTTTTCTTAACTGAAAATGGGTGTTCGTTTGTTTTTTGTGTGTTAATCGGAGAAAACTAGGATCCCTGCTTAGTACTAAATGAGGAGTTTCTTTCTCCTTGTCTCCATCCTGGGCTGGTTGTTAGTTTTAGATGCTCAGTCAAACCAGTTCACATTGATATGCTTTTTTTGGTTACTCAGGACGTGACCTCCACAAAAGGAAATGAGTTTGAAGATTACTGTTTGAAACGGGAGTTACTTATGGGAATTTTTGAAATGGGCTGGGAAAAACCATCGCCTATCCAGGTTGGTACAGAGCAGATGATTTCTTGTCACAGACTTCTAAGTATTGGGCATCTGTGATGAATCAAAGACTTAAGTCTCGTTGAGTTTTGCTCATCTATATTTGACGTGCAGTGCCTCTTCCTTGTATAGACATGAGGGTTTTAATCCCCTGTTCAGTAAATTGTTTCAAATATGTAAATAATCCAATGACTTCTGCAATGTTTTGTGTGTGGGGAGAAGAGAAGAAACTGCTTAGTGTTGACCTGATCTTCTACTGGCAGTCACTGCAGATGGATCTGCAGAGATTCGTCACAAATCATATAATTTCTAATTTACAGTTATATGATTTGTTAGAATCGCCTCGAACTCCTGCTTAGTTCTGGCTGGCTGGCTGTCTCTGTCATTCTGATACATGCCTCCGTTACTTCCTAGAAAAATGGTTTAACAGTATTTGAATATTGGAGTTCATGCGGCTGGAGCTTTTCAGCTGCTTGAGGGACAAACTTATCTGAGGCAATTTGAGCACTAGCTTATGCTCATACCTTGTATGCAGTCTATCACTTCGTTAATGCTTGACGCATTTGTGAGATGCTTTTTTTTCTTTCTCTTTTTTAATTCTGAAGTGTTCAGCCTTTGAGTCAGGTGCTGGCTCCAGTTATTTTTCCTATTCAAACATATCCTTTCTCTTTTCTGTGCGTTTTAATGTTAATCATGAACTTGAATGAATAATGCAAGTATTTCTTTCCCTTACTATTTTCCTGCCATAATGGGTGTCCAGAGTTTGGTAGAGATCTCTTATCTCCCTATGGGATTATGTAATTAGCACCTTTTATTGTTGATTAATGGGATCCTGGGAGCGGAACTCTTTCCACCTGGTGGAAATGGTCTTACTTGGTCAGCTTTGAGATCCATTGTGACGAGGCCCCTGGACTCTTAACTGTGTATTTGCAAGTTGGTGTGTCCTTGATACATGGGAAGCATTAAATCCTGTTTAATTATAGTTGAGGTAGGGTTTTTCTCTTTTTTTTTTTTTGTTTGCTATAGTATTGCATTGATTTCTGTCTCTTTGCTTTTTAGGAAGAGAGTATTCCCATTGCTTTGTCTGGTAGGGATATCTTGGCTAGAGCGAAAAATGGAACAGGCAAGAGCGGAGCCTACCTCATTCCCTTACTTGAACGGCTAGACTTAAAGAAGGATAATATACAAGGTTTGTTAAGATGGATTTACATGCAGCTCCATTTGTACAATACTCGTTGTCTGGCTGCTGCACAGCAGTATAGATGGGATTGGAACATTTGAAAACCAGGCGTCAGTAGAGCTTGAAAGCAAGTAGATTTTCACCTAAAATTGGTTGAAGGTTCTCATTGCTTTCCAAGGGAGTATGGACATATTCCAGATAAAAATTTATGAGGAGATGCATTCTGATGTTTCCAGTAGCCAATATTTTCTCATGAGTTTCTCATGATCCTTACCTATGTCCTAAGAAGCAGGAGACGGTGGGCTGAGGGTGCAGAAGTGGTGATTGACTTAACTTCTAAGTACCACAATGGAATACTAATGAACTTTCAGGGTTTTAAGTCATCTTTCCTTAAGCTTTTTTAAATGAAGAATATTGATATAGTTTTCAAGAAAAGGTATTTGTATTACATTCTTATAAACTCAGTGAAGTTTACATTTTAAAAGATAAGGTGCAGATTTCAAAGGGTAGTCGTATTGAATGCCTCCATGCTTTTATGGACAGGGATATCTAAAAGACAAAATAGGTCCTTTAAAATTCTGTGCTGAGGACTTTCTTTTATTTTTCAGCAATGGTGATTGTTCCCACCCGAGAACTAGCCCTGCAGGTCAGTCAAATATGTATCCAGGTCAGCAAACACATGGGAGGTGCTAAAGTGATGGCAACAACAGGAGGAACCAATTTGCGTGATGACATAATGAGGCTTGATGATACAGGTTAGGCGGTTTCCATATAAAATGAAATTGCTGCTTATTAGTGGTGTAACACCAAAACTGCTGGCTTTCAAATATTCTCATGCTCCTACTAGCTCTCCTCAGGCCACTTTTGGATTCTGTTTGTGTGTTCGAATGGCTAAATCTTTACTTGTGCAACGCTGGTTTAACTGCCAGTTGTTCTACTTGTATTCTGTGTTCAATCAAAATTCACTTAAACAGTTTTTTCTCTTAACTTACAGTGCATGTGGTGATAGCTACTCCTGGGAGAATTTTGGATCTCATCAAGAAAGGTGTAGCAAAAGTTGAACATGTCCAGATGATAGTACTGGATGAGGCAAGTTGTGCTCTGTTAAATACAATATCTTCCCATGGTGCTTAACAGTGAGGTAAAGTAATATCTCTTCAGGCATGACCATCGGGCATAATTGTCCAGTAAATATTCTGCAGACACACCAAAGGGTTCAAGTTAGTCACTTCTGGGTGTTTGAGTGAAAGTACTCCTGGAGGAAATAGTTCAGTATCTGCTTGCAGCTCCCACAGTCAGTTCTGCGTTGGGGAAATTCACCATTTGATTTGGGTTTAATGTGTAAAAGGAGGTTTTTGGCATTACTTGAAGAAATGACTTGTGACTTGTGCTAGATCCAGTAAAGAAGAGGCTTTCCAGTTCTTTTACTTGAAACAATTTGGGGCTTAGCATAGTTAGATGTGGAAGAAACTGGTGCAGACGGAGTTCCTGATTCATTCTGAGTAAAGAATGGGAAATCTCCACTTACCGTCTCTCAATCTGGTATCATTTATATCGAATATGTTTGAAAGCAAGGCAGGGTAAATAGCATTTCTTAGTGCCTTTGTAGTTTAGAAATAAAGGTACCCGTAGAACGCTGTATTCAAAGCAAGATTTCTCCACCGTAAGATGGGGGGAATGTTAGATATGTTTCAGTTTCTGACTTCAGTGTTATCGAGCCAAACCTTGCTGCACTTGCTTAGTTTTCTTTCCTCTCGTTGCAGGCAGATAAGTTGCTGTCTCAAGATTTTGTTCAAATAATGGAAGACATTATTCTCACGCTACCTAAAAACAGGCAGATTTTGCTCTACTCAGCCACTTTCCCTCTTAGTGTACAGAAGTTCATGGTAAGTTGAGATGTTTGGAAACGTGTTGCCCTGTTGACCCCTATTTGGGCTTTTAAGTCATGGATGGGTAGAGGTTTCCATTGCATGCATAGGTAAACATGTCTCCCGATTTATTAAGAAGAGATTCCGTTTGTGTTGCATGAATGACTATTATAAAAGCCACATTCTTTTTGTTCTTGTTAATGTTACTTTGGGCACGGATTACTTGCACTGCTTTATGCTACGCACAAAGCATTGTACAGAGTTGATGCTAATAAGGGTGTCTAACTGAACTTCCAGAAAGTATTCCTGTTTGGCCTGAAGACTTGGTTTATAGGTAATCCTTCATAAAATTCTATAGCAGTGCTTCTCAGCTGTTCCAGACGTGAGGTATTCTTCAGAATGTAAGAGCTCTTAATTTGCACGTTTTTTTGAATACAGAAGAACAATAGTGGAGAACTCGGAAAGTTCACAACAGATGAGAATACTTTTTTTTTTTTTTTCTTTTTTTAATACTGTGGGTTCCAGTTTGAAGCCTCTGGGTTTATCTTTTGAAACATGTTTGCATGCTTAGTGCTAAGGTAGCAGGAACACTGAATCATGCCTGAAAGCATCTCAAAGCACACCGCGGTGCTGTAGCACCCCGATTGAGCATCAGTGTTCTATAGGAGTCCATCGTGTGTGCACTAGCACAAGTGTTAGGCTACTTCCTCACTGTGAGGAGTACTTGATGCATCTCAAATGTCAGGATTGCTGTTTAGATGACAGTTATTTTGATGAATTGGTTTATTTTTATTACCTTAATGTGAATTCTTTATTTTAGAATTCCCATTTGCAGAAACCCTATGAGATTAACCTGATGGAGGAGTTGACTCTGAAGGGAGTTACCCAGTACTATGCCTACGTAACTGAGCGCCAGAAAGTACACTGCCTCAATACATTATTTTCCAGGGTAAGCAGCAGTGCATTTTGTCAGTACTGGAGCAAGAATATGAACCACTTATTTCTTCTAAAGGCTACATTTATAGCTTACGGTGGTAAAGCTGTATTTATTCTGGCAAACAGATCTTAATCATCTGGAAATGAACAGTGGCGTCTCCTACCAGTTTACTTTAACATGCCGTAGCTTTTAAATGGAGATGGCTAATTTTTCCTGAGCATGTATATTTTTTGCCACTTTATGCTGCACAG